CAGCTAATCAAGCTCTTACTAGGCATACTAGAAACTTCCAGTCAGGTGTGTTGAGGCAAGTTGGAGCTAAACTCTGCAGGACACCGGCCCTCCATGACCGAGTTTGGACAGCCCTGGACTAGAAGAACCTTTTTTTTTTCTTAGTGTGAAGAGCATTTTAATAATCCTCTTTAAAGAAACTTTTGTGCATTTTGTAAAGTTCTATGGATGTTAAATGTTCTTCATGGAACCATCAAAGCCAATAAATAATCTTTATTTTTAAGGGTTTTTTTGTATTTTTATATGTTGCCTTCTCCATTTTTGATCTTTTGTGAATTATGTTCTTGAAAGCCATTAAATAACATTAATACATTTTAAATACAGATAAATAGAGGAACGCAGCTTTTTATTCCTTGAAAGGTAATTCACATTAAAAAGGTACTGATTTCTTCTGAAATCACTGTAAATAAAAAAGGTGAAGAAAATATGAAAACTTACTATTCATATTGCAAAATGCAGGAGTAAATGTTATTGTGTGTGTGTGTGTGTGTGTGTGTGTTAAATATATCTTGTTTAATGTAATGTGTTGAACTGTATCTTTTGTTGTGTAGTCAAGACATTAAAAAATAATAATAATAATGATTAAAAAAATAGCAAGTCAAAAGTCTGCCGGCTCTCCCTGATCCCCTCAAGCCTGAACTTTTAAGTATGACAACCATGTCAAAGCATGAACGTGAGGTAACAGCTGCGAGGCAAGCCGTCACTGGTCTTGTGAGGTCTGTTAGTCAGACAGCATGTGCTCCAGCGGGGATTGGAAAAAGAAACGCAATACACAAAATATTAAATGTATAAAATATGAAAAACAATACAGTACTGATATGCTTGTTTACATGTTTCCAGATTTACAAAAATTTGCTGCTTGATTATTCACTGAAGAAGCATTGTAATACTTCAGTTATACATTATGCATGGCAACCAATTTCTGTATGAACTGTTTCAGCAAGTGTCCAGACATACACACATACTACAATGTTCTGGATTCCATTAAAAAAAGCACAGTGTCTAATTTTCATATAAGGTTTGTGCCTTTCATCAGGGTAAATTAATATCAATATTAAAGACGAAAGATGTTTTTGCAGAGAACTTACATAGATAATCTGTCACTGTATGTGACATTCAAATCAAAGTAGCATAAAGTCAGACTACTTTCATTACATTTATATATGTGTGTGTGTGTGTGTGTGTGTGTGTAATACACATTACGTATGTGATTGTTCAGCAAGTATGTGATATTTAGATAACGCACTGAATCTGACCAAACCTACTATCAGGGTTTTACAAGAATCACCATGAACTGCAGTCGAGTTGTGGCAGGTTGTAGGACATTACAAAGATTTAATATACTCAAAAGCAAATGATTTATGACTTCGGTGTGCATAAGTCTGACACCACTAGTGAATGTGCTTCTCTTCGAGAACAAGACTAGAGCTGGCATGAACTTCAGAAGTAGAGCAAAACCCGAGCATCATCTTCTCCAGCATGATTTAAATTTGTTTCAAAGAACATCTGATGTACACGAAGAAAGCTAGAAATGTTACACCATACTTGAAATATTTTCTAAATGCGAACACGTTCTGTATATTTCCAGGATTAAATTTTAAAAAAACATTTCATAATTTACAACTTTTTGGACATTTTTCAAAGTTGTAAATAAAACAAAGATTACTATTGTTTTACATGAAAATACTGTTTCGGTCTTTCACATTTAATTCAATGTGTTACGTGCCGTTACTTTGTGATTTGTGAAATTTACAAGCAATTTCGGAGTGAAAATTGCTCCAACTTAAATCCTACACCAAATTTCTGTGAATGACACATGTAAAAAAGTCATGCAGTATATACAGTATGTACTACTTTACAGTACACAAGCAGCTTTACAGTACACTTATTTCTGGGATATTTTTAGAAAATGCTCAGACAATCTCAATGCCTCTCTCACCACTGCAGTGAGATGCCGTTATCGATCAAACAAAGAGTGCACAACAAAGTTGAGATGGACACTGTTCACTAGCAATTATACAGTATAGCGGTTTAAAAGGAAGGGCCTATTCCGAAGGAAGATGAAATGAGTATAGCATGCCGAACCCACGTATGCAAAATCCCTCTCATCCACATCCTGTTATTCTGAGTATAAATATCACTTACAAAGGGCCGAGTCCTGTCGGTCTAAAGCTAACAGCTCCCATGTTTCTACTGCATTATGTTCCTATAATATATGAAATTACAGAGTGGTTTAAAATCTGCTATATATCCTAAACATTATGTGTCAGTACTTAAAGATTCATGCAAGGAAAAGCAGACAATCTAGATTTTAATAATGATGTCAACTCTGTGATATTATAACTTCAAGTTAGTGTACATTGATTTTATCTATTTTGTTGGTAAAATCTTTATGGTGGCACAAATGAGACATGACCGACAATACAAAAATGGTCTTTATAATTTGACACGTTAAAACAGGAAAAAGAGTCCATGTTTTAAAAGATATCTTGGTTATAATGGAGAATCGCCATCAATGAGACTGAACAGAAGATGCACTTTCGAGTTCGCAGGGTTTAAATATTAAAAGTACCATTTGAGGAACCATTGCAACTGTTGCTCAATCAGTGAGGAGTTTATCAATGACTGACTGAGAAACACAAACTGACTTAGCAACTTAAAATCAATATGAAACACCAGCCCACTTCTGGAATGTCATGTATTTGTGAGCAAATGAAATGTACGGTAGTTTAATATTGGTTTTCTGTCATTTTTGGATGGTGAAAGGGGTCTAGAAGTGATTGGAGGGAGGGATTGAAAAAATAGCTTTGTAAGGGCAACCAAAAATGAAAATTGTTGCGGATATGGTGCAGAGGCACAGCCAGATATTTTGATGAAAGATTGTGTGGGGGGGGTTGTTGTAATGATAAACATGTTGATGAATCATACATAATAAAAACAGTTGTGTATTAAGAAAATTAATAGGGTTGATTTTTATTTAATGTTGACTAGCTTATACCTTAGCCATTTTTTTTTTTAACTCAGATATCTTTAGCATTAGCGCTGTAATAAGTTAGTGGTCTATAGCTACAGGTCAAGGTACACATACACTCTTAAAGGTGGGATTTCATAGCAATGCAGTTCCCAAAGTTCCCCAAAGAACCTTTCAGTGAATGGTTCTTAGAAGAACCATTGTTTTGTCTTACTGTGAAGAACGTTCGAAAAATTTCAAGAACCCTTTTCCACTATAAAGAACCTTTTGTGCATTGAAAGGTTCTAACGGAACTCTTTATGGAACCACTAAAGAAGCTTCATTTTTACGAGTGGACTGCGAGGAAATGACTTATAGATCGGGATATACCTACTGGTTTGCGTGTTGGCGTGAGCTGCACGGAGTGATAAAACTCGGGCTGGACTCTCTTCTTCACTCTGCGCTTCCTCAGGGCTGCGCTCGAGTCCGGCTCGCTCTCAATGAGCGGCTTCTCTTCAGAAACACGCGCGCGTGCGCTTCTCCTCGCATGACGTGGACTGTGACGACATACCTGTCAGACAACGAGCACAACGTCATCGCAGAGCAAGAACTGTTAAGTGCTACAAATGATTGCAGTTTTCCCTATCCTACAATATAAGCATTCGCCACCTCTGTCTAGCTTTTGTTGTTTCTATTTACGTCTTGGTAGCATGTAATATTTATGTAAAAGTAGCCTTTTCTGAATTATTTATTAGTCACACATGCGCAATGCGCATTTCACGCAGTTGCTTAGGATACTATTTCTTCATCAAGATGAGAGTAGCTATAAATAACTGTCAAACAAAACACAGCATTTCATGAGAACGTCATTATTTTGGATGCTTTGCTCTACTTTTTTATGACCTTGACAGACAGAGCAAGAGAAAGGGATTTACCTCAGAGCGAAAATGATGCGGCCGGAAACCAGCTTCTAGAACAAATGGGAATGATTGAAACAAACCCCACATGCATTCAGTCATATTGTGTCTTAGAGATGCTCTTCAAATGACTTTATTATTAACAGAACACTTTATTAAACACACAACGAGAACAAACGATGAAAAACGACGGCACCCAAGCGCTTTGATGACCGTGTCGTTTTTAACCCACACGAAGACAAGAAGGAATGAAAATGTCTACTAAATCTGTCGTTGTACATGCAGCATGCATGCTATCGCAATGACATCCTACAGAAACACATATATAGGGTGGACATGATGCGACGCGTCCGTCTCCGGCTACTCACCACGACTCCTCGAACGCCTTGTGAGCACGGATTTTATGGGAATTTTCTCATTGCGGAGCTTCCGATGCCAGGAACTGAGAAACAGGATCGTGGCGACAGTTCCTACCAAAAGCAATAATAGCAATAATACATACTGGATACTTAAGGGTCTCAATAAGACCAAAAAAGCCGCAGCAATCATTGCGATGTAGGACAGTCACTCCTACACGTCTGCTTCCTCTCCTTATGGAAATAGGCTACTATGAGCGGCTATTTCATGCTGTGATGCCTCACTTGTAGGTCCCCGACATATAGTCTATCTCATGGTGTCTGTACTTCAGTAATGGCCCACCACAAGCCATGACTCAGCAGGAGCCTGTGTTTTTCAGAGCTCACGCAGGGCAGCGCAGCATCAGCAGCATCTCATCTGAGCTCAGCAAAGCGGATCTGTAGCGCCTCGGTCTGCGCTTTTTACATGCGTTTGGAAATGTCCACGTGATGTGTTTCGAAGCACAAACTTCAGCCGTTTGACCAAAATATGGCTTTAGTGTGAACTCTTTTATAAAGCCTCATAACGCGCTCCACGTGGACTTAATTAGGCCTACATTCATTTCTGGGACGTCTTAAACTTAACAGGAATTTCCATATGGATGGGTTGTTTACAGTTAACGTGCCATATCAATATAACGATATGCCAGAACGTTACCGTAAGAAATACAGTGAGCATAGCATAGCATTTTGTAACTGTATATTTTGCATATAACAGTTAAGCTTTGTCAGCCATTATAATCTGATAAAATCTACACTGGAGCAATACCCAAACACAAATGAAACTAAAATAATAGTATAAACATAGCAAATGCTAAATAAATAAATCCAGTAAACATATTTGATAATACTGATAATAATATAGGCTAGGCCTAACTATAAAAAGAAATGTAAGCAAACATTTCTGGGAATGCCCTAAAGGGTTTTACTTATAGGGATGCTTGTATAAAGTAGGCTATACTTGTTACTGTAAACGTATATGTTTGGCCTTGATTAATATAATAGTACTTTTCACAGTATTTTATAAGGTTAATACTTTGTTTTAAAACAAGTATACAGTTTTTTTTATGTGTGTAACATTGCATGCGGCGTCTTGATAATCATAAATTGTATTAACAGAGCTGGGTAGATTACAAATTGTAGTCTGTTACTGATTCCAAATTACATGGCAAAATTGTAGTTAGTAACGTAATCCATTACATTACACAGTTTAGGTAATATAATCAGATTACTTTTTGATTACTTTTGACCTAACTCGTTTATCATATTGATTTAAATAGGATAATCTTGTACCATATTGATATAAAAATGCAAAGAAAAATAAAAGATATTACATTTCTTGTTATTAACATAATGAAGTCCATTACGTTGATATTTCCCAAACTGCGGCTCGTAAAGGAACTGCAGGGGGTTCGTGAGTTTAATGAAAAGCTAATAATTAATTAAATCATAAAAATGTTAAATTAAAACAAATAATTTTAAAATATCAAATAAAACTTACTAAAAAAAAAAAAATGAAATATTTTATTTGTTTACCTGCATGTCACGTGACCATTTGTTACGGAACTGCTCAGAGACTGAGTGAGGATCCAAATGCAGTGTTTATTAGGAAAGTCCAGAATCAAAATCAGACAGCAGGCAAGGGTCAACACACAGGCAATCAGTCCAAAAACCAAGATACATAGAAACGCTCAGAGATGCAGTGTAACACTTACAAGACTTCGCAAAGAATGACAAACTAAACCAGACTTATATAGGGTGAGCAGACAGGGTAAATGAGACACAGGTGCAAAGAGTGAGTGTTGATGAGTCCGGGCAAAGGATTATGGGAAATGAAGTTTTTGATGGAGTGGTAAAGTCCGGGATGGGGTGCCCTCTAGCGAAGCTCACGGGCACTCCAGCTAGAGATCATGACACCATTAACCAACGTCAGAGAACCGTGAACATGCAAATGTGTTATTAAATTATCAAAATTATCTCAGGGGTACTTCAAGTAAATATATTAGGTAAAAGAGGTTCAGATGACAAAAAAGTTTGGGAATGCCTGCATTACATGTAGGCTAAATAAGAAATAACATATGTGTATTGTAATGTGTTTGAAAGACAAAAGCCTTCCAAAGACATAGTAATACATGCATTAAATGACCCTCTGAGTGATAATTCAAATACAAATTAATGTGGTCATCATTAATTGATGCAATATTGAAACTTCTTACCTTCGAAAATGATTTTTTTTATGGTCAAATGCAGTTTTCTGTGTAATTATATCCACCTGACTAGTAACTGGTCTTTGTGTGAATGTCCACAAAACTGGAAACATTTCTGAATGTATATAAGTGGTAGGCTACTTGAGAAAGGTACATTTAAAAGATGAAAAAGAGGAATTAGGGAGAATCAATAAATTATGAATAATTTTTTGCTATTGCTTTAAAGGGGTCATATGATGTTGCTAAAAAGAACATTATTTTGTGTATTTGGTGTAATGAAATGTGTTTATGCGGTTTAAGGTTCAAAAAACATTATTTTCCACATACTGTACATTGTTGTTTCTCCTCTATGCACCGCCTTTCTGAAACACGTCGATTTTTACAAAGCTCATCGGCCTGAAAAGCGAGGTGTGCTCTGATTGGCCAACTATCC